CAAGACAAGATCCGGACACGATCCAAAATTGATCGTATTTTTTAAAATGGCCCACCCTGTATATATATAACTATATATAACTATATATATATATATATATATATATATATATATATATATATATATATAGTTCTTTTTACGCGCAAAAAAATCTCGCAATTTCTTTAATATTAAAATAGTTTCTATATTATATAAATAATATAGTTATAATTTGATCTCTTTACATGTTGAACACACTGTATATGTAATACCCTTCGATATATTTCATGATGAACATTTTGTGTAAGGATGCAGTGAAACAAAAATTTGCACGATTTTAACTTTCTTGTAGAAAATAATAAGGAGAAAAAGAAGCAAATTGTGCGGAATAAAATGGAATCGCACTGTTAAGTCTTATACGAGATTTTTGTTATTTATATAAGTTCAATATACATATACAGGGTGTTCCAGAACTGGCGGAAAAGTTTTTAATGGCAGATTCCTGGTATAAATCGTCGGAAACAATTTTTTCTCAGCGAAAATGTCGAGACACCAATAATTTTGGAATTATAAGCAGTTGAAAATAAAGGTTTTTTGGAAACTAAACTCTTGTAGAAATAAAATATTAACAGAACTATATATACATTCTTTAGTTAATTTTAGGTAGAGTTTGCTTATTTTAATATAAGGCTTAATTATAAAGATACATAATAACAAAAATTGAGAACATGCTAAAAATGATCGCTTTCCTCAACATTTTCACTAAGGAAAAATCGTCTTCGAATGATACCAGGAATATCTGCCATTAAAAACTTTTTCTCCAGTTCTGGGACACCCTGTATATTGTCTTTATTTTTTTATAATTTAGCGTTATATGCTGTGCTCATATGTGACATATGTAAATGATGAAAACAAATTAGGTACGCGAATGTAAATGTTATTAATATCTTCTGCAAAAAGTCGATTTATTAATTTTGTTATTTTATAAATAATGTAGATGAATTTCAAAAAATACATTAAGATTGTCATTTTGTTTTAGGAAGTCTATGTCGTGTAAAACGGGAAGCACACACGTTTGCATAGACGCATAAGCGTAAGTATAAGAATCTTGATTGGTCTATGAACGTATGCATAAGAAATTCAACCAATCGAATTTTTTATGCATATGCTTATGCGCTTATGCAAGAGTGTGTGCTCCCCGCTTAATAAAATAAGAATCACTGAAGTTTGGCATTTGATAATGGAGCAATGTTTGGCAAAATGACTTGATTTTTAATTAATAGAAAAGATGACTATAAGTAATTAAGAAAAGGCTAACTAAAAGAGCAAAAATGTTTTTTGGATGTTAAAATAATTTTATTTGATACGATCAAAAATTAATAAATGATTATAAAATGTAAACGGTTCAACTGTACACAGTCTTTCTCAATACACGCAAAATCTTATACATATAATGAAATTATCCTGAATCACAAATAAATTGAGCATAAAATAATGCTGTTAATAATATACAAAACGCCACAATCACTTAAAAACTAATAATTAATTTTTAATATTTTTCTTCGTATCACACACTTATCTTATTCGGATTCAATGAAACTTCTGCGATTCTATTTTTATTTTTAAAAAATTTTATATATATTTAAATTATATTAAAAAATTTTTTTCTTTTCTTTATTTAAATAATTTCTTTCGAATTCTTTTCAGCCAATTGTCTAAAATATCTTTAATAGAGTTAAATTATGGAATCAGCAAAACTGATTTTTTTTAAGGGAAGAGTTTTACTCCAACTTTCACCTTTCCTTCTCTTTGTATACGCCTATGTCAGATTTTAAGCAAATATATTGAACTAATAATTTACATTTTGCAAAAAAAAATGGAATTACATCGTGCTTATCTGAATTCTTTTATTATTTGTCTACAATAATTTAATACAAACGCTCGTTATTTAACACGAAATGACTCTAATGAGTTTTAATTTTTAGAAAAAAATAAACTAAGAGTATAAAATAATACTTTGTACTTTATAAATTCATAATAATTTATATATCTTTTTAATGTTACACATTTTGAATATTAAATACTATAATTTTTTTAGTGTGTAAAATTCAATTATATTTACATAAAAGCTTTCATTTTTATTTTTTGCAGTAGAGCCCGGATAACTTTTGCAATGAGGTTGAAAGAGAAGAATAAAGTTATCCGGTTTCTCCATCATAGAGCAATCAAATCACCTTATGTGAGTGCAGTTGAAATATAACACTCTCACCTAACGCTTTCATATATGCGTTATCACGTTATCTGCTTTTGAGGACATGAATAAGGGAAGAGGAGGAAGCGATACACATAGTGTGGTGAAAGTGCATGTGCAAGAATACCAAGTTATCCCAATTCTACGAGTCCATGGACGCGTTTCTGTGCATGTTTTCTGTTTTTTGAAGCATATTTTTGACTATGCATCAAATCCTCAAACACTTGATTAAAAAAAAAAGAAAATAAGTATATATATAGCGATATATTAATTCATTTAAAAAATTTATTTCAAGCGGTTGATGACCGGCTAGATTAGACCATTCCTGGTCAACACAAGCCAATAAAATCAGAGAAGATCCCAATTCTAGCGAATAATTGTTTCAACATGGTTTTACTAGATACCATCAAAATCGAAATATGTCTAAAATTGGGTCATAAGATATCTTTTAGATATTTGGTAGAGAAAGAAATTTACCCAGGTCCGATTGTCTTTAATATTACCTCGTCGGTATTCCTAACAAAGATCAATGCAACAAATACATTTAAACAACAATCAATATAACAAATACATTTAAGACTTTGTGAAAAGATTCGTTTAATGTGATATTATATGTACAATCTTAAATATCATATTTATATGTATGTTCATTTATCTTTTACAATTTAAATGCAAGAGAAACATATGTTTGAACATATTTCTACAATATTAAGAAATGATCGTGATTTCACGAAAAAAAGAAATCAATATAATAAGTCAATATTTAGAAAAATATGACTTTAATTCACAACATACATGCAATTGCGATTCAAAATTAAAATCTATGTTCCACGAAAATCTCATTTCTTAAGTTTTCCCCTGTATTTTTCTTATAATTTCTCTTCTTTCTTCTCTCTCTTTTTATATCTTTTTTAATCCATTATTAATAAGAAATATCATAAAGTAAATACATTTAAACACAAAATTTGATTTGTTTAATATGATTTTATATGTACAATTCTTAAATATTGTATATACATCATATTTAAGAATGGGTTTGTTCTTTGCTGCATTAATTCATCAGTGCAGCAATAAAGAACAAACCCAATAGTACATATAAGATGCAGGCTGCGTTCGCTTTGACGCTTCAGTGCTATAAGTATCTTCTGTCTTCGTTGCACATTGAATATCAAACGAGGACAGAAAATGCTTATAGCACTGAAAGCGTCCAAAACGAACGCAGTTACAATATGTATGTGTATATATATATATATATATATATATGTATATATATGTATATATATATACATACATACATACATTTATCCTTTACAATTTAAATGCGAGAGAAACATGTTTCTACAATTTTACAAGTGGTCGTTATTTTTACGAAAAGAAGGAATCTCAATACAGCTTGATATTTAGAAAAATACGACCTTAATACAAACATACGCGCATGTGCGATTCAAAATTGAAATCTATGTTCCATGAAAATCCAATTTCTTACGTTTTTCTATTGTATTTTTCTTATAATTTCTCTTCTTTCTTCTTGTATCTTTTTCATTTGTTATTAATAAGAAATATCAATAAAACGAATACATTTAAACAAAATTTGATTTGCTTAATGTTTTTTTATATGTACAATTCTTAAATATCACATATATATATATATATATATATATATATATATATATATATATATATATATACAGGGTGTCCGGTAATTGTCGCCTCAACCATCGTGTGCAGGTAAAGTGAGTTAAACCGAATAGGAAAGTCCTCTACCGTTTTGCGATTTTCGCAATAATTATTGAATTATTAAAGATCGGCTAATCCACGCAAATAGAAGCGCGCGACGAGAAGAGACGTCCTACTGTAACACGATACACGACGCGCCGCAAAGCGGAAGGAGCAAACAATGACTGTCTACGAATCGTGTTCGAAAAATCTTCGTGTATCGTGTTACAGTAGGACGTCTCTTCTCGTCGCGCGCATCTATTCGCGTGGATTGGCCGATCTTTCTTATTTAATAATTCAATAATTATTACGTAAATTGCAAAACGGTAGAGGACTTTCCTATTCGGTTTAACTTACTTTACCTGCACATGACAATTGAGGCGACAATTACCGGACACCCTGTATATATATATATATGATATTTAAGAATTGTACATATAAAATCACATTAAGGGCTTATGCAGGTCTAGAAGGCCAAAAAAAAGCATATTTTCTTGAATTTTTTTAAAAGATACTACGAGAATTACACAATTTTAATTTGTGTATAAAATACTATATTTAAAAAATATTCCATGAAAATTTCAAAGGAAAATATCAACAAATCAGCCATTGAGAGTCTCGTGAAGTTGACCATGCCAAAAGAAGTGTAGTCACCGTAACTGAAGTAATTTTTATCTAAATCAAAAAATAAAAATTTTTCTGTTGGTATGTGAGTATAGCTTGTGCTTGAACAAATTTTTTAAAAAATTGAAAATTGAATTTTTAGTAGCGTTTTTTACGAGAAGTGTCATTTTTTGCATAAATTTTGGCCATATTTTGGCTTATAAAATGAGTTGTAATTGAAGATAAAAAAAAATCCTTTGTTCCAGCACAAGCCATACTCACATACTAACAGAAAAATTTTGTTTCTTGATTTCAGATAAAAATTACTCCAGTGACTACACTTCTTTTGGCATGGTCAACTTCACAAAACTCTCAATGGCTGATTTGTTGATATTTTCCTTTGAAATTTTCATAGAATATTTTTTAAATATAGTATTTTTATATACAATAAATTAAAATTGTGTAATTTTTGTAGTATCTTTTAAAAAAATTCAAGAAAATATGCTTTTTTAGGCCTTCTAGACCCGCATAAGCCCTTAAACAAATCATATTTTGTTTAAATATATATATATACACACACACACATATATATATACATATTTAAAAATGGATTTGTTTATTGTTGCACTGGTGAACTAGTTTGTTCACTAGTATTGCAATGCACTGGTAAACCAGTGCAGCAATAAAAAACAAACCCGATGGTACATATAAGATACAATATGTATATGTATATATATACATTTATCCTTTACAATTTAAATGCGAGAAACATGTTTGAACATATGTTTGAACATATTTCTACAATTTTATAAGTGATCATTATTTCACGAAAAGAAGAAATCCCAATATAGCTCGATATATAGAAAAATACAACCTTAATACAGTAAGCACATGCGCGATTCAAAATTAAAATCTATCCTACAAAAATCCCATTACGTCTTCTTAAACTTTTCTTCGTGTTCTCATTATGATTTCTCCTCCTTCTCCTTGTTGTATCTCTCCAGCTCTTTGAGGAATTGTGCTTTGGGTTTCATGATATTGGGTCGATCGCCACGACACTTGGGACAGAACCATTTACCCTTAGGCTTGGTGGTCAGAGAAACGCACGAGAAGTGGAACCATTCTATGGGACATAGGTCGTTGTCGCACAGAATCATCTCGCCGTACGAAATCTGATCGCATAGACAGTAAGTCGGCTCGTCAGGATCTATTGCGAGATCGTCCTCCGGCGGCGGCGGCGTATCCTCGCGATGCTGATTCTGTTGAGTGCCCTGCCGTGACTTTCGTTTCTTCTTTTTGCCGGTGGCGGCCGTCGTTGTCTTCTTTTGATTTCCATTACTTATGCTCGACATCGTCGAGGATCTAGTTTCCGTCATCCCGACCATTATATCCATTGAATGGGCTGACTCCAGTAAGGTTTCAGTCCTTGTTCTTCTGGCACGTTTTGGGTGGCGTTCCATGTTGTTTGCATGGCTAGCTGCGTTTGCATTGTTGCTTATGTTTGATTCACGAACCTCGGAGCTCTCCTGTTCCTTGCCGAAGTCTGTAAGAGAGTAAAAGTTAGTTATTAAAAACAAAATGTATGTTATAGAATTTTATATTGTTGCACGTCAAATGTAATAGATATTAGCAATAGACAATAAATGCGGTTTATTTGCAGAGACCCAAAACAATATTACTTTATTTTACAAAACAAAAATAAAAGCATTTGAATACAGAATTAAGTGGTTACACACAAAGAAAAGGTTGTTAGAAAAAAAATACTAGAGTCCATAGGTGGTGTCTTTGTAACTAAATTTGCACCTTATATTAAAAATAACTAAATGCAGAATTTAAATCTTAATCTAATTAAACAATATTGATTAACTCCAATAAGAGAATTGAAATATATGTAAAATGGTATACCTAGATTCCGATAATCTAAATCCAACTGCCTGGATTTGTTCTCTATAAGATCTTGTACTTGTTGAATAATTTGTAATTTCTCATCTCCTATTTCTTGCGCTGCAATCAGAGCTTGCTGTACTCTTAACAATGCTCTCCTCTTTATCGCAGGATCCGTATCACTTTGTAATGTTTCCTGATGCTGATCCACTTCACGTAAATATGCTGTAGAACATAATAACATAGTAAAAAACTTTATTCCAAAAAATATAACATTTATATAATAATTATTTTATGAAATATTCATAAAAACTTATATTTGCAGATATGAAATACATTTTTATTTTTTTGATACTAAAATCACATAAATATCTTACAATTCTTATTATTTTATTATTTTTCTTATAGAAGTCTTAAAAAGTCTTAAAATTATTTTTAAATAGTCTGAAACGACATTAATTAAGTTACAAAGCGTGAAATCTTTATCAGAAAATTAAGAAAGTAATTATTTTGTTTGATCAATAGATAAATGTGTTAGTAAAATTAATGAATTAATTTATTATTGAATTAATAAATAGGTACAATAGAATTTTGAAATTTAATATTAGTAAGTCAATCATTTTATAGATGTAAATAAAAGAAGATAAAATAATAAAGCGTAAGAGTATAAAAATTTTTATCTTAAATAAAGAAAATATATAAAATAGAATAATTGCTTTGAATGGTATAGTATACATTGTTAAAGCGTATGTTTTTAAAAAAAAAGTGATTGAGTTGGCACGAAATGAAAATTCGATCAAAAGATTACTTTGACAAGTGGCGTCCAGTTCGCGTAAACGGGAAACATGCCTCTGCAAATCGTTCGGCAGATTTTCCACGCAGTCCAAATAATTTTCGATATACGTCGCCGAGTACAAAGCCTCGACCACCGCTTGGTTTAACATAGCTACGTTATTATTTTGTTTTCTCTCTTTTTTTTTAGCTTCTCGTCTCCTTTACACAGCAATAACACACAACATTATCACGCAAAGTCGAATTGCTAACTATTATTGTTCCGATTTTTGCTCCGTTTATATGTCGACAGAGGAGCAGAGATGAGATTTATTTGGATACAACCAGTCATATTAGCCAGTCCTTAGGATCCCCAACGCGATCGACCAATCAGAACGCACTGCGTTTAATGGACCAATGAAATCCAGTCGAGTGCCAGTTGACTGAAGAGACTGTGGCGCCCTCTTGCGAGAATTTTGTAAACTACAATTCATATTTATGTTGTTTATGCTTGAAGCCCGTTCTACAATACGTCGTATGTCGGAACGTAAGCGATGGTCTAATGAGAAAATTCTTTTTTCAAAAACAAAATTTCCTCATTGAAGCGAGGATCACACACTTTTGCATAGGCGCATAAGCGTAACCATAAAGCGGGGAGCACACACTCTTGCATAAGCGCATAAGCATATGCATAAGACATTCGATTGGTTAAATTTCTTATGCATACGTTCATATAGACCAATCAAGATTCTTATGTTTACGCTTATACGCCTATGCAAAAGTGTGTGTCCGCTTTAGTTCTCTGCCATTGGCCTAACATTTTTTCATAGAAAGAATTAGGGCGCGTTTCCACTGAGCGCGTCACGCGCGCGTTATCTGGTGCGTCACGACGCGACGCGACAAAAATTTCGAAACAGCGTCGTTCTTATTTACACTAAACGCGTCGCAACAAATCAAAGATAATTCAACATAACCTAATATAATGATTGTTGATATTAGTGCCTGTTAATGCATTGTGTTATTCGCCGCGACGTGTTTAGTAATTACGTGTTTAATTATAAATAGGTGTTAATAATTACGTGTTTATAGATAAAACGATTGTAGAATTATGGAGGCCTACCGACAACGTTGGCGAAAAAGGTTATTAGCATGATGCTATTCAATCGCCGAATCAAATTTGTCGATGAAAACGATGAATGCGAATGCGCGATTCTATCCAAAATAGAGCAATCTTATAGCGTTTTCGATTGGGAAAAAGTTAGTGCGCACCAGTGCGCACTCAGTTCACACGAACACTGGACAAGTTCCATGGGTTGCACTGAATAGTGCAGGTGAAAAAGAACACGCCGAAATTTTCAGTGCCACTTGAGTTGACTAGATTCCGGGAAGAACGAAAAAGTAACCTCGACATCTTGTGTTCAGTTAAGTAATGATTTTTATTATATGTAATTAAATATAGAAGATGATCAAGAATATCACGTATGACAAATATAAAAATTATTATTTTCCAGTATAAAAATGCTATTACATTAAGTACATTAAATATATTTTAAAAAGGGTATAGGTTCGATGTTTATATAAAAGATATAACACTTACGGTGTCATTATCCATTTTTTTCACACATTCTACATAATTTACAGTTTTGGAATTATTCTTTTAGTTCGAAGAGTTGTAATTATTTCTTCTTGCTCGCTTGAACTAGAAGAAGATTCCAAAAATGTCTCCAAAATATTAAAGAGAGTCAAATCCGAATTGCTCATTATGTCGAATTTTCGTTCAAAAGAATGCCCTACTGCTTGCATGCATCCAGTGCACTGAACTGGCACCGTCAAAATATCTCGTGCCACTTAGTGCGCACTGAGTGCGCACTATGCGAGTGTTGTGCGTTCAAACGAACACGCAACACTAGCCAAGTGCGCATTGGCACTACCAATCGAACACGCGCCTGACATTCAGTGCAGCCAGTGCACCCCCACAATCGAAACGCTATTACTGATGCGTCATAAAAGATTCATGCAATAAATGGGATGTTTTGATTGGTTAATTGTGACGCGCCGGATGACGCGACGCGCTCAGTGGAAACGCGCCCTTACTATTTTGGAGATATTGGCCATTGCCCCGTTGCCG